TCATTCCTGTATAAACCCTGAAATAAGTCATTAACAGCATTTCCATCAATCTGTCCTCAGACCTCACAAAAGTGCAAAGGGTAAAATGTGTAAAACAGGATTTGGAAAAAAGCAATTGAGAGTGGGAATTGTTTCCATGCTGTCAAGAAACTTTGATATGATGCCTTTTTTTTCTAATCTGACTAATTTCCATTTGCTGTCCTTCAATTTATAAGATCATGTAAGCAATTTTAGTATTTACCATGAGGAGTAACGGCTAGTTTGAGTTTCACTACTTAGGAGTGAAGGGTTGTAATAGAGGGAGAAGATTGATGAGAAATTAATTAAATTGGATGATCTGGAAAACAAATATTTATTTATGTAGTTGTTAAACGTGCTCTATAAATAGTTCAGGCTTTTCAATGCTGCAGATCATGACCTTTAACAAATAAAACTAAATGAAGCAATAAAGGACAAAAGATTTTAAAGGTTCACACTCAGAAAACGAGTCTGTTGCTCAACTGAACAGAAACTTTCACCTGACATTCAGACACCTTCACCGAGCACATGTGCTAGCTTGTTTTTACTCCTACTTTTACACATCCTGCAAAGTATGGTCAGATTTCATTTGACTTCCTGCCATCAGACTAGCAATCCTGAGTCTCTAGTTGAGTGGTTCAGTCCGAGCAAACCAGGATATTTTGTTATCTGAATGCGTTTGCTCAAATAAATGATTTTTGTTAATTAAATCCTTATTTCTAAATAACCAGGGACAGGTTAGACTAAATGCTACCAGCTGTGCAATGAGCTGGTGGTCGTTAGTAAAAGGTACCTAACTTAGTACACCTGCACAGCAAAAAAGGACAAGTGTTACTTTAACAACTATAATTCTATTCAGTTTATTATTTAGCACCAATTCACATCATCTCAGCTCACTTTCCAGTTCAACCAGATCATCCAGTCAGATTGATTCAAAGTTTCTATCTAAGGAAAACCAGCTGATTGCATCGACTCATTGACTCTTCAGCAATTCCATCGCAATAAGCATGCTTGTAGCGACAGTGGAGAGGAAAAACTCCCTTTGAACAGGAAGAAACCTCCAGCAGAACCAGGCTCAGTGTGAGCGGCCATCTGCTGAGGCCGACTGGGGTTCAAGGAGATAGAAGTTGAATATAACTGTATTTCATATACCATTTGGTCCCACTCCAAATTAGTGTAAAATTTACTCTATACACAGTTTCAACTTTTCAGAACTAATGTTACTCATTGTAGTGTAAAAAAATCAGGAAGATATCTTAGAGACTTGCTGGTAATCGTCAACATATAGAGTAAAAGTTAATCTGCATGGCTGACTGGTAACACACTTTGACTCAGTATAGTTGTAAATAACTCTAGAGTACAACAGGTTGCCTGAACTTTAACACCCATTTTTTTTACAGTGTGGAGCCCCCCCTCACAGGAACAACAATGGAGACAGTTAAATGCCCTCTTCAGGTCAACAGATCCCATGTGGACCACTGGGTGAACTCCCATCACCTCCATTAACCTGCAGAGTGTGCAGAGCTGGTCTGGTGTTCCATGGCAGGCAAGATAAACCCCATTGCACATCCTGAAGCTGCACTATCAAGTATGGAGATTTCATCAGGAAAAATGTGAAAACTGGCTGGAGAAGATCTTCATCCTCTTTCCATCCAAAAATGTCCTTAGTTAATTTGTGCTAGCAAAGCATTACCTCCAACTTAAAGTCCAAGAATCACATTAAGGCCAAGCTATATTTTTTCTCCATGGACTTTCCAAACCAGTGGCGGAGGGCCAATAGAGGGCGCTAGGGTGCAGCCCCACCCACCCAAAGATCCTGATTAAGACAAAGAAAATTTTTTTATTTCAATTTAAAATATTTCGAAATATGTGATATAAAAATTGTCCACGTGCAGCAGCTCCTCTGCAATACAATCGTGATAGCCGGCCTGAGGTGACAGGAAGTGTATTTGCTCACCATCTCCCGCCACAGAGCAGACATTTTTCTAGTGATTGACAGGTCGAGTCGTGGGGGTTGGAGAGAAAACCTGGTTTAGCTCCAAGGCTAAGCTAACTGCATGCAGTGAGGCTAAGGCTTTATCCTGCTTTCCGTGCCTCCTTTATCAGAATCTGAGCCAGCATGGATAAAGGTTTGTGACGCCATATTGCACCATGCAAAACCCAAATTTACCTTAACAAAGCTTCAGAAGGGCAAGATTTATGGACAAAAAGTAAACCTGTACATGAAATTATGTTTGGTTTTTATAAAGTGTTTTTTAGAATGTTTTTGCAGTCGGCATTCATATAAATGTACTGGTGTCATAACTTAGTATACGTTTGATCTGTTTTTGCTATATGTCTATTTTGGATTTACCGCCCCGAATTGGCTGTATAGAAATAAACTGAATTGAAACAATATGATATCACTGGGTGTCCTGGTGCCTACTGCACCGATGGACACCCTTATGCTGGAATGTGGTGTTTATATGGATAATTCATGGTTAGACAGAGAATTCCCCCATGGCAGTTGAATTCCCTATACAAAATGATGTAAACCTGCAGATTACGAGCAAAGTGCTCTGTTAGGAACATAAGGAACAATCAGATCTCTGATATGATTGTATAAAGTTTGATTTATACAATCATATAATGGAGGTGATCTGATAGTAGATCAGTTCCCCCTCTCAGCCCCCCACCCCAATGTATGTGACGTATTGTGTTGAACGGTTGCACTGAAACTGAAATTTCAATTGCAATGTAAATTGTAGTTGACAATAAAGAAGTTTGATTGATTGATTGATTGTTCTATTGATTGATTGATAATTGGTCCTAGCACTGATCCCTATGGTACTCCACAGGTAACCTTTGAGCATGAGGAAGATTTATCATTAACGTGAACAAACTGAATTCGATCAGATAGATACGATTCAAACCAGAATTGTAATTCTAATGTTTCTCCTCAAATGTGAGAAACTCAGAGCAGATATTATTAGTATTTTATCCTTTTATTAAGGGGTTAGTTGTTACCATGAGGCCAAGTTGTTCAGCAGGATGAGTCTCAGAGCAAAGTTCTAGTTTCTAATAGATTCAACCTTTAACCTCTATTCTATAGAGAAAGAATGAGGAGAATCCAGACTCTCCTGTTTTCTTTTTGGTTTGTTTTTTAAAATAAGAAATAATAATCATAATAGCTGTCCTTTAATTTAGTGGTATTTTTATACTGAAGTCCTTTCCAGGTGGTGAATGCAGGCGACTCGGTTGCTTTGAATCTCGAAGTTCTTTGAGACGAGACACATAACAGAAATAAAAAAATCTTGAATCAGAAACTTGAGCTGGATGTATTTCTTTAGTGAACTTAAGAAATTTACAAGCAAAAGATGAATTCTTAACTTTTTATATAAATAAAATTCAAAAGACTGATGCTCTCTCTCTTAGTGTGTCCTGACAGTGCAACACCAAACCAGCAGCCCATCAAAAGCACCACAGTATCTAAATAAAACATTGATATAACTAAATACATTCCTATATTACTAAATATGCACAAAATAATTATTGTATTCTGAAATTAATTAAAATTCTGCAAAACTCCAACAAAAAAAAAATCCAACTAAAAAAATGATGTAGAATCTATAGTAGGCGGTTCTACGCATCAATACATCAGCATCATGATCTGCCCTGATAGCTTCTACTTAACTGGTCATTTCATTCACCTGTCTAACTCTGCCTGGTCTCCAATTATCACTGATCTCATCCACCTGCGTCTGTTCCCTTATATTGAGCTCAGCTCCAGCTATCGGGCCCAGATAATCGTTTGCTCCCTGTTTGATGTCTTTAGGTTCTGTTATCTCTAGTTGTTGTTAGTCCAAGGTTTGTGTCCCCGTTCCAGTGAGAAGATTATTCTGGAACAAGTGTCCTCAGGTGAGTTTATTCCCTGACCAGCGGTGAGAGCGTTTCAGCGTTTGCTAGTGGTTCTATTGGTTCTGATCTCCTGATTCTGTTCTCTCTCATCCATTGGTCCTGTCTGTCCTCGTCTGATCTGTTCACATTCCTCTGGACTCCTGCTGGATTCTGCCTGTCGGTGCGTTTCTGTCTGAGCTGGTTGCTCGACGCGCGAGACTCTGAACCTGCCCTGGGCGGTGCCGCTGTCTGCATTGGTGCGTGTCGGTCTGGGCACGCTTCTGGACGCGTCTGACTCTGAACCTGCCTCACGCTCTGAGGATTCCTGGATCCCTCTGTTCCTGTTTGGGTCGGAACCTCTGATCAAGCGGAGAACTCCTGGATCCCTGAACTGTTCCTGCCTGATCTGTTCTCCCCTGTCGTGGATCTGCTGCCTGCATGTTCTCAGGGCCTGCAGCATCGGGGACGCTCTCAGGGCCGCATCTCGTCGGCGGTCCGTCGGCTGATCCTGCCTATAGTTGAGAGGATGGACTGAACTGTTACACCAGGTAAGTGACTCCCTCTGATAATCATCTCCTGTCAGATGATCGGGGTCACTTACCTGTGTTTCTGCCTCCAGAGTGTTAGTGATTGGATGGGGCCCTGCCCCCCCTCCTGCAGTCGCTGCAGATCCGCAGATCCACATCAGCTCTACGCTTCTGTTCTGTTTGTTTATGGTTTTGTTTTAATAAACGTTTTAAACTTTCCTTCTGACCTTGAATCCTGGGGCCATCTGTCCGGTTTTGGTCAGTCAGGTGGTTTCTGAAAGTTACAGGTTCTTTAAAATTACTCTGAATATTAGACAAAAACCTTCTGATATTAGAAAATTAAATAAGTGCTTTTGAATACTGAAGTATTATAAAAAGTGAGTACTTTAACTTGAGTAGGTGTTTGTCTGAGTATTAATACTTTTATTGAAGTACTGCTGCTGAGTACTTTGTCCATCTGTGCTCACAGCCATCTAGCCCTGTAGTTCTGTCCTACTAGGAGCCCCCAGAGGTGCTTCCTGTAATGAGTCTTTAAAGCATGGTGGTCTTGTGACAGCACAGATCAGAAAGCTTAAAGCGTTTGTCGGAGGTGGAGCTGAAGGTTCCTGCATCAATAATCTCCCAGGCTGCCTGAGCCACAGCTGGAAGCTTCCTGCTGCAGCAAAGCTTCTCTGCAGGATATTCAACCCAACACTCAGAGCTACGGTGGACAGGCAAGTAAGCTTTCTTCTTTACAGACTTTAAAATGATTACTGAGGCTTTTATCAGCTGCTTGTTAAAAGGAAAGAGTCGTCTACAATCCATATGGATAAAGATGATCTTTATTTACAAGTGCTATTATTCTTATATGAATGAGGCTTTCATGATTTTACCTTTTAATATCGGATTAACAGATTCGTTCACAAAATTTGTCCAACTTAAAGCAGACATTTTAGAAATAGTCAACAAATTTTGAACTTGTTTTTTTTGGTATTCTTATAAACGATTGAAGGTACAAACGTTTTAACATTGTGCATATGAAGACATCGGCTGGAGAAATATTCTTGGTATAAATTATGGTTTTGGCTTTAATTAGTACAGCCTGTATTAGTAATGTCATCTGTTCTTTACAGGCTATGCTAATCTATGCCAGAATCAGCAAAACATTGGAGGCTGACTGTAGAAAACTAAATGAAATGATTTCATTCTAATGTATTTGTTGTGTTTTCTGAACATCATGTTGTTTTTATTAGATTATGGATGTTTTTTTAGCTGCCTGGATCCAAAACAATGGAGATTAAAAGTGAATGAGGCTCTAATTTAAACACTTTAAAATTTAAGAGTTGGTAATAGTTATGAATTTTTCTCTTTCTCCGCTTTGAGATCAATAAAGCTCATCTAATCTAATCTAATCTAATCTGAGCGGTATTCAATTCATTATTTAAAGACATACATACAATCAAAAGCATTTACGAAAAGAAAAAAGCAAAAAACAAAAGCAGACTTAAAAAAATTATTCAAAATCTTCTCATTTTAATTTCTTTTAAACTTTTTTTTTCCTTAAGTTAATCTTTTAATGATTTCTATTTCTCCAAAAACGCAGTGTTTATTAAAAAAGTAAAAAAAAAAAAAGTCATTTCCTTTCCAGGAAAGGAAGGAGTTAGTTAAAGTAAGCATTAGACAAACAATCGATAAATTAACTGATTTAGTTAAGTTATTAAGCAGACAGATGTCTGACATGTTAACTATTTCCCTCCATCCTTCCTATTCCTTCAACATATGAAGGGAAATCAGACTTTAAGTCTCACCCTGAAATTAGTAATAATATGAAAACAAGTTTTCCCTCCTCCCTGCTCGTCATTTCACCTTCTTACCATTTTCTGTTTCATCCTTTAGAACAGAGGTCTTCAACAGGGGGTCTGTGACCCCTGGGGTCCATTGAGGTACCACATGGTGGTCGCAAAAGTTTTGGTTGATTATACTTTTTTTATATTCCCCCTGTAATTTTTTCCACTAATTGAAATGTCTTTAAATCCACATTAACATGAATTCAACACACTGTAGTAAACAGATAAATGGAGGCAGAAGATGTCTTTCAGTCATCAATGCACACATTCAGCGACACACAGGAGCTCTTTCAAGCTGGGCACCGTTTCATTCACAACACCTGTCCCATCAACCAGGAATCAGAAATACTTTAATAATCCCAGGGAGAAATTACTTTAGTTACATTACTCCATCTGTAATAGAGTGACCAGCTTGATATAACACTATTTAATACAATATATATAATTAATTAATCCCTGCTTCATCTGGCCATCAGTCTGAGGGTCCTTGGCCTGGAAAATGTTGAAGACCCCTGATCTAGAATAATTTGGGTACTTCAATAATGAAAAAAATTGACAAAGTATATGAAATATGTCTCCTGTCAGTGTGTCTAATATTTAGCTCAATTTGAAATGGTTTTATAACAATGATCTGAAAATACAGCATTGCCTGAACTCGCCCTGCTAAAAATCATTTGGGGATAAAAAAATAAATCATTCTCGGAAAAAAGGTTGTTTTCCTTTGTTTATCTCAGTGCACCCTGATAATCAGATCCAATCAATTCAAATTCAGAAACACTTTCATGGACCCAAAGGGACATTTAAAGGTGGAGCTCTTTTAGTTTTTTATTTCTTTTAGTTAATTTTTCCTTATTTTGTGGTAAGTTAATGAAGGCAGGAAGGATCTACTGTGGCGATCCGTCTCTCAGCGAATGCAGAGAAGCTCCTGGCAGAGAGATGATGATACATGATAAAGATGTTGAGCTGAGGCCCGTTTAACAGGCAGGTTTACTCAAAACTAAGATTTTAAACCTCAAATCAGGGAAACTGAGTTTCCTGTTTCACAAAGAGACTTTCCTCATCCTACGTTGCCATGGTAACATCCTCCCAGCGCTAACCTGGTCAGCGGCAGGTTTTCCTCAGGTGTTCTCTGTCTCCGCTTTCCTTACAGCCAATCACATTAGTTTCTGATTTAAGGGAAGCAAGGGAATTCTCTCAATCATAGATTGTAAATTAAATTTGATATTTTTATTTGTACTCTTTCAAATATTTAAGTAAAGACATCACTCAATTATAAAGGGCTCAATAACTAAAATATCCCATAGCATAAGTAGAAATGTGTTTAAAATGATAAATTAAATGTCATTTTAGAATTTTTTTTTTTAAATTAATATAATAACTTGACTCACGGATTAATGAATGAGTGAGTAAAGTAATTATATATTATTTTTTTTCTGTTATTTTTGGGGTCACAGGCAGAAACATTTCAGAACAACTGATTTAGAATTAGACCAAATCAAATACTTTGGTTTTTGATGCTGTTTTTATTAAGATTACACCCATGGTTAATAAACCATGTATATTAATATTATATAATATTTTAGAAATGTTGGCTTTTTATGTAATTCTTTGGGTCACATGTTTATTTTTCTATTCTGTTCAAATGAATAATCCATAGTTTTATAGTTGAAACACTTGAATGTGTGAAGGAGTCGACTTTCTTTAACATAGACTCCTGTATGAACTTCCACTAAAATACAAAACTAGTTTCAAAAATAGCATGAGTTCTGTTTTTCATCTTTGATGTTAATGATGTGAATAATTGTATTTTTGTTGTTATCTTATGGTCAATAAACTGACAAAATGTCTAGTTAGGGGATTCCACTTGAGAATTGCACTGCTGCCACCTTCTGGTTTAGAGGGGAACTGCTTGGTCTGGAGGTTGGGAAATAACATCCACATGCGAACAACACATCATCTGGTAGGTGTGATCAATGATTGGCTCCGCCCCCTGCCTCTCTCATGTCCGAACCGCCACATCCCATCATACAATGGGATACAGCATCCCCACCATGTTTATTTATATGGTGCTAATTCACAACACATCCCAGATCATTTTACAGAGACTATTCAGAGAATACTGTCAGATGTTTTTTTTTTTAATCCAAGGGAAATTAAGCTGATTCCTTTAAACAATTGACTTTCCAGGATTTGCTCCTTCTGGATAAAAATGTAGCGACAGTAGATGTTCAGTTTCATTGTGTTGTTGCTTTTACAGCAATCCCCTCAAACCAACTACCAATGCAGCATTTGAGGAAATATGTAGAATTATGAAAAGGTGTTGCTATGTCCTCCAGCAGTCTTAGCCTATAGCAGCATAACTTTAGAGATAGCTCAGGGTAATCCTACGTTCAGACTTCAAGCAACAGGAACTGCAGAAACGCGCATGCTGCTTCATTCAAGTTTAGTTCTGACGCATCTTTGCTGATCTAGCTGCGCATTGGGTGGAGCTACCCTATCCTTTCTTTGCCTGGAACAATGGCAGCTATATTTGCTGTGATCAGTGGGTAAAAAGTAGTTTGAAGTGTTGAAGTGAGAAAGTCCTCCTGAAAACATGGTCTGTGCAGTCAGTTCATCCAGATTACCATCCTGCCTTCAAAGATTATTTCTCTGTGGGAGCCGCTCAGACCCCCACATAGCGGCGGTGCGCTGTCACTGGGAATCCCCAGCAGCGGCTGCCTCAGACCCGCTCGCCTCTTGGGGCTTTTCCCCTACTGTTGGTAGCGGCTGGATGTAGATGTTAGCGTTTTTCAGGTATGTGCTACAAAATGCAGGCACCAGGATAATAAAAGCGAACATATTTTGCTGGCAGGTTTCTACATTTTAAGTTAATTTAGGTGTTTATAAACTGTTTCAGAGGAGTGATCATAGCGCTCTGCATCAGCAGTGCTGTGTCTGTCTCCCTGCCAACTCCCAGATCAGCTTCTCTGATTGGTTGATGCGGCGCGTCCAGCAGCTAAATTTTCATTTTTCCAACTCCAGCAGCTGCTGCTTCCCTCAGATGCTCATGAGGCGCTGCTCCTGCTGCTCAAACGCGCTGCAGGACCTTTTGCTGCGCCTTGATGCGCGTCAACCATAGACTTTGCATGTAGACTAGCTGTTTCTTCTGCCTCTTCAGCGTGCGGTCTGAACGTAGCAAAACCTGAGTTACTTATATAAGCTTTATCAAAAAGCAAAGTTTTAAGCCTAGCCTTAAAAGTAGACAGGGTGCTGCCTCACGGACTAAAGCAGGTAGTTGGTTCCACAGGAGAGGAGCCTGATATCTCTCTCTTTTTTCCAGGTTATGGAAGTGATGAAGCAACCTACTTCAAAGATGAAAATCATGGCTTACATTTAAGATCTAGTCTAAAGTTTACTTTTTTTACTTTTGAACTAGGTTTCTTTGTATTTGTATTTTTTTTTGTAGATGTTAATTGACCACAATGAATCGGACTTCCGGGTCTGATGCTGCACCCTTCTTCACCAACAACCCTTCTGGTATGAGAGACCGGCCTCTGATGATCTTTGCTTTTAAATACAGATTGTATTTTGATGTAAACTGTGAGCTCACCTTTTAAAGTGCTCTATCATTCTGTACATTGTTAGGTGACCTTCATCAGGAAATGCCTTACTACTGGAATCTGAACAATTTTAGCCTTTTTTCAAGAAAAGGAGAAGACCTTCCTGAGTCACCAGTTAATATGACCTTAACACCGCCTGAAGAGGAATTTGATCCATTGGGAGGTCATACTGTGTGGCAGGTACAGGATAGAATAAAAGCCCGACTTTCATATTGATCTTTCTTGCGTAGTTTTCAGCACATTGATAGAAATTGCCTGCATCACTGGTAAAAAAAAAAAAAACATCAATTAACCAGGTTTTTTACCTTATAACTTTAAAAAATGTATTTCAATTAAATTTATTTATACAGCATCAAGTCACAACAAATGTCATCCCAGGGTACTTTATGGAGACAATTTCATCTAATCATCCAGTTAGATTGGTATAAGGCTTTTGCCTTAAAGTGGTAGGGAAATCATATTTAAATGTCAGATCATTCTGGCTTGAACATCTATATAAATGTACTCTTTATCAGACCATATTGTTCCAAAGTTTAGATAATTTCTATTATTTTTTTTAAATCATGTCTTAAAATCTTTGTTTTTTTCGTTATCTTCTACAGGCCAGTTAGTTCTACGTCAGCCTGAACACCTAAATTCGGCCAATCATATATCAACGGTCATCTGTCAATGTAATTCTTTCAGTCATAGCATCTTGATTCATATGTCGCAGCTAATATACGCAACGGTTGAAATCAGAATCGTTTCCTTTCCCATTGAGTTGCGTCCCAGTGTTCATGGGGATGGACGTCTGTGTCTTCAGCAAGCGTAGAGCTAACAGAACTGGCAGCGTTGCGAGGCAAGGGCTCAAACATGTACGGCTGTAAGCCTTCTACACCAAACCAAGCTTCAGCCGCCCTGGCGTCCTCTTCCACAACATCTTCGTCCCGCTTTCCTCCTCTAAATAAAAATTGGATGATGGAGGAGACTCATCCACGACCTCCGACACTAAACTCTCCTCCTCTTGCATGTCTCTGCTGTCCATAGCGTTCCTTGACAGTGTCGTTTCTAAGTCACCAATTTAGTGCTACTTGGTCCCAATGGAATTTCCCATTGGGAACCTACTAGCACTAAGCTGCTAACTGGTTACCACAACAATCCCGCCCCCTTGATAATCAACCAATAACATTCACTTTATTCACTTGTGTAAAGTCGGGAACCACTCGGAGGAATTCGGCAACCGTTGGATCAGCGCCACGACTTTAAGAAAATGCAGCTGATTGTATCCAGCCATTGACTTTGTAGGACTCGCACCTCCTGGGTGAATGAGTGCAGACAGATATGCACTTGCATTTTGTCTTTAATTCTACAACAATCCTTCACACCAAGCATGCATGCAGCAAGAGGGGAAAGGAAAAGTTTTATTTTAGCAAGAAGAATCCTCCAGCAGAACCAGAACCAGTGTGAGCAGGCTTCTGTCAAGCTCGACTGGTTCAGAGAAACAGAAGCAGACAAATAAAAGCTCTGGTCCATCAATTTTTCTTTAAAGCAGGTAACAGTAAACTAGCTCCACAGGGGGCTTTGTCTCTGAAAAAAAATATTAATGTTAATAGAGCATCTACAGTAAGTCACAGTAAAAGCAGAGACCTAAACTTTGTCTAGAAGAGAAACAGGACTAAGAACTGAAAAACAGTCCGAACTCTATAAAGGAAGGTCTATTCCAGCTCATTGAAGCTGAATTTCCTTAGATAGAAAAATTTAAAGCAGCCTGACTGTATGATTTGGTTGATTTGTAAAGTGCCTTGAGATGACATGTGTTGTGAATTGGAGCTATAGAAATAAACTGTACTGAAGGTGTTAATGGCAGCAGCTCAGTTGATATTTCTCTCCAAGATGGGGTCATAGCCAAACAGAGCCAAAACAGAATAAGCTAACAAATACTAATGAATAGAAGAGGATTGTAGAAGAGGTCCTTATGTCCTCCAGCAGTATAGCAGTATAGTTATAGAGATAGCTCAGGATAACCTAACATGTTAATATTCTATCCATTCTTCTGATGCACATAAGTGAAGGAACTCAGAAGACAGTAGAATAACAGTACAAAGTATTTTTTTTTTTTATTGCAAAAGTTGAAGATTATCTAGTTAGGAGATTGCAAAAGAAAACATCCAGGAAACTCTGCAAAAAAAAACAGTCCAGTCCAAGAATGTCCCCAGTGCTGCAGTCCCAGAGGTCTTGCAGGAAGCCAATCCTGGTCAGGGATTCAGAACAGACAGAAATAGACAGAACAGGCAGGATCCAGGCTTCAGGGCATCATAGAGCTCCCAGGCAGGTTCAGAGTCCAACAGAGTCCGGAAGCGTGACCAGGTGGTCACGCACAGGAGCAGACAGGATCAGATGCAGACGGGGAGGCTCAGTGGAAGAAGGTACCCCGAGACAGGGCGTGGAACCAGAATTTGATGCAGGACCTTTAAACTGGTCTCCACCTTGGAGCCAGGCTTACTTGGATAAAAACTGATCCTCCAAAGCCAAAAACCCAGAGGGCTCAGCAGGGGAGGACAGTGGACGAGCAGGAGACGAGACAGACACAAAAACCTCTTTCCACTGGCCGCCAGGATCCAGAAGAACCTTGAAATCAACATAACAGACAGACTAACAGAAAAACAAATAATGATCTGGCCCCGAATGCTCAGGCTGAACATAACATGTATATAAACCAAAGGGAACAGGTGAGAGGAATAAATGATAATTAAGGCAAGGAGGGAAAAAGGAAAAGGGAGAGACCAAATAGACCAAAAAGGCCAGATCATGACAGTACTGGAACAAAATGAATGAATGCACAGGTCTTACAGCATATGAGGAATTTGAACGGCAAGGAGAGGTAAGTGGACCTGAATTCAAAGTTATGTTTGATCATATAGCTGAGTATCTAGGGTGGAAGCGGTTTGGATGGCAGGTAACTGTCAACCAGCTCCACAGGCGGCCCCGTCCAGGAAACACACAGCCAGGCAGACGAGCTCCGAGCCAGCTCCCATATCAGAGGATGAAGAGAGCACATCCAGTTAGTCACAGTCAGAGAAACAGGACTACACTGAAAAACAGGCCAAGCTCCAACATCTAGAAACAAGGGTGTTGATGGCAGCAGCACAGCTGATATTTCTCTCCAGGATGGAGTCACAGCCAAACAGGAACAGACCAGATGAAGCTACTATGAGAAAAAGCAGAGAGAGCAGAAGAGAGAATGAATAACAGATTCTGCAGAGTGGGAGAATAGAGATAGAATGGATCACATAGTGGAAAAATTGTAAATCTTATTTGGAAAGTAAGCTTGTATGAGCGATGCAAACAGCAACTTTGTGCACGAGGAGAAATTGACTTTTGCACGCTCTCGCACGCGTTTATTAGATGTTCTCTCTCGGGAGCGGGTACAGGGTTTTACATGTACTTTTTCCAAAAATTTGCGAAAATCCTCCACTATATCTTTAATCATAAAAAGCAGCGGCAACATAACGTTAGTTTTAAAACTAACGAATACTGCAGAATGGGATAATAGAGGTAGAATGAAGAAGAAAATTAAAAGGAGTCCCTATGTCCTCCAGCAGTCTAAGCCTATAGCGGCATAACTATAGAGATAGCTCAGGATAACCTGAGCCACTCTAACTATAACCTTTATCAAAAAGGAAAGTTTTAAGCCTAGCCTTAAAAGTAGACAGGGTGTCTTCCTCACGGACTAAAACTGGTAGTTGGTTCCACAGGAGAGGAGCCTGATAACTAAAAGATCTGCCTCCCATTCTACTTTTAGAAATTCTAGGAACCACTAGAAAACCTGCAGATTGAGAGCGAAGTTCTCTGTTAGGAACATAAGGAACAATCAGATCTCTGATATCAGATGGAGCTTGGCCATTTAAGGCTTTATATGTGAGACTTTAAAGAAAGGGTCGTCGATGGGAAAGGGTCTCATAAAAGTAAAAAAAACATGAATTTGTCTGTTATCTGTTTTTTTAGTTCGACCAGTTGTCCCCCCCCCTAAAGTAAAACATGCTAACAATGTCTCAATCTTACTGTAAACTGTAAAGTTTTGTTTTTATTTCACTTAGTTATAATAAACATAGTTTTGTTTTAGTGGCAATATTTCCAGAGTGTACCTCAATGTGATGGACGACTTTCTCTTCTCTTCATTTTTAGGTCATCATCATCGTCTTCCTTACTGGATCACTCTCTTTGGTCACCGTTGTTGGAAACATCCTGGTGTTGGTGTCCTTTAAGATAAATAAGACTCTGAAGACCGTTAACAACTACTACCTGCTCAGCTTGGCCTTTGCAGACTTGACCATTGGCACGTTGTCCATGAATCTCTACACTACCTACATCATTATGGGCCAGTGGGCTCTTGGGCCTGTGGTTTGTGACTTGTGGCTTGCCATAGACTATGTGGCCAGTAATGCCTCTGTCATGAACCTGCTCGTCATCAGCTTTGACAGGTAGATAAAGATGTTTTACTTGCACTTCTTCTTCTTAAAGATTGCTAGGCTTGGTCTGCTGTTAACCCCTGATGCAGGAGAGAAGCTAATGCCCCTGTCATACCTTGACAACTTATCCAGCGTATGCCAGATGTCCCAGATTCTCCTAAAACGCTGGCATACGCTGAACCGTCTATGTATTTTTTCAAATTTGGGAGTTTACATAGAGTATTCATAACGAGTCCAGAACTTACATGTGTCCAACTTCTGCATAATGCACGGCAGCATAATGCCCATGAAGTGATGCACAAGCCAGTGTCCTGAATGGGGCAGCGACGTGCCCAGAGGCACCTGGTCTGCAGAAAACGATGTCTTTGATTGCGGTATTAACCTAGCTACTGTTTACCGACTGTCCCAAAACAAAAGAATAAATAAAAAGAAAAAGAAAGAAAGAAGGTTTTTTCTGACATTTTGAATTTAAAAATCTTCCTGGATGGAAACAAAGTACAGTGGATTGTTTTATAACTTTGTTGGAATGACTATGCCCTGGATGACTGAGAATCTTCTCCAGCAAGTTCCTGTCTCTGTTGATCAATTTCACTTGATTGTTCTTTTGTGTTCCCTTAGGTATTTCTCTGTGACCAGACCTTTGACCTACCGGGCCAAACGTACGACCAAAAGAGCTATGACCATGATTAGCTTAGCCTGGTCCATCTCCTTCATTCTTTGGGCTCCGGCTATACTGTTCTGGCAGTATATTGTGGGCGAGCGCACGGTTCAGCCAAATGAGTGTTACATCCAGTTTTTGTCCGAGCCCATCATCACCTTCTGCACCGCGATTGCTGCGTTTTACTTACCAGTGAGCATCATGGCCATTTTGTTTTGGAAGATCTACCAGGAGACGGAGAAAAGAGCTAAAGATGTTCAAGGTCTAAAGGGATCTGGGGCCGGCACAAAGTCGAGCCAGGCTCAGGACCAGGACAACAGCAGTGGAAAAGATGCAGTTAGCAGCCAGAGGATGTCACTAACCATGCTGCGCCAGATAAGCTCCCAGAGCTTCAGCAGCAGTGAAGTATGTCTGTCTTCTCCAGAGGGAACTGGAAAAAACAATTCCAATTTGGCACCAGGAGTGAAAAAGCAAAAGTGCTGTGGAATGTTATGCTTCCATCTCAATTCATCTAACATGCCTGGTAACACTACAGCGAATACTGTAGATGAGGCAGAGCAAAGCAGCTATGATAGCGTCACCAGCGATGTGGTCGGAGGTCCAGGAGACCGAGCCGCTTCAGGGAGCGAAGCAAAAAAGGCTGGAATTGTACAGCATAGAAACGGTAGGACCCTCCACCCCTAAGAACATTTAATGGAGAATGATTTGCTACAATATTATTGAAAGCAAAGAACACTTTTTATAAAAGATATCGAAGAAAATGAGTTTTTAAAAACGTAATTTTGAAAAGTACTAATAACAGAAGACAGGCGGCTTTAGTCAGAGCCTCTCCTCAATGGCTGAGCTCCTCACCCTCTCTCTAAGGGAGTGCCGTTTTCCTGTGGAAAAAGCGAATTTTAGCAGCTTGTATCCGGGATCTCGCTCTTTTGATCATGATCCAGATTTAATCTTCATAGATGAAAGTAAGAAGGTAAGAATGTAAACCGACAGGAAAATTGAGAGCTTTGCAATTTCACTCAGCTGACCCGCTCAATTCTCCCTAACTCATGAACAGGACCCCATTATAGCTGAACTCCTCCACTTGATACAGTACGTTGCTCCAAACTGAAGGACAAGCTACCTTTTTCCAGTCAAGTTCCATGGCTTTGGATTTGGGGGTGCTGATTCTCAGGCGAACCGCCCCAGAGATGAGGCTGTAGGCTTGGCAGGAGAGAGCCAGTAGAACCATATCATCAGCAAAAATCAGGGACGAAATGCACTGGTGGTGGAGATGTTTTAATGCCAGGATGATCCCAGGGGCTGTGTTGGCGGGGGCTTAAATGCCCCCCGGTAGTGTCTCCCAAGGATGACAGGCTCTGGGTGAGAGGTCAGACAAAGAGCAGTTCAAAAAGCACCCATTGATAAAAATCAAGGCATGTGATGCAGAGACGTGCAGAGACAGTTGGAGGGGCAGGTGCTAAAAGGTAAAAGGGGGCCCATGGAGCATAGATTTAAAACACGATACAGAAACATATCTTGCTATACAACCGGTTGAATTGTACCAACCCAATCCAAACACACAGTAACGCATATACTCAAATGTTTGTTAGAGGTCAGTACAAAGCGAAATGAGTCTGTTTTGCCTCATGGGTGGATCGAACAGCATCTGCTGAGGGGGTTGGTACTGCTGTGTTCCTGGAGGTGGGCTGTATTGATCTGATAGTGTAGACACTAAAAAGAGCATCTGAGAGATAGTAGCTGATTAAAAAAGAGGCATGTGTTCATGCAAGATGCAAGGATAACTAAATTAAAAATGGCTCAATGCCACACTGCTGATAGTTTGGAAGAGACTACTTGTTGAGATCTGTGGGTCTGTAATTCTGTCAGTGTCTGTCTGTACCTGAGCTGTTGTACACATCACAGCGGCATTTTCTTTTTTGCAGTTATAATAATAACTTTCTGTTGCCCATGCTCTTACAAATGTCAGTGACTTGTGACTTCTTGTGCTCTTTGCCATCCAGCTGGTGAGTGATCCACTACCTTTCACATCCTCACACAGCTCCTTTTGTTTTGGTCTTAACTTCCCGTCCTAATGAGGCATCTCTGCAAAATGAAACATGATCCTTAAACTACAATCTGATGCACATAAAACACACATAGTCATGGCCAAAAGTATTGAGAATGACACAAATATTATATTTTCATATGATCTGCTGCCCTCCGGTTTTCATCTGTCTATGTCAGATGTTGTCATCACATACAGAAATACAATTCCAATCATATTACGAGTAACAAAAGCTTTTAAGGGCGACAGTCGCGTTGGATGTAGGAGTTTGCCCTGAAATCGAAGGGTTGACGGTTCAAGCCCCGACTCCGACTTTCAGTGTTGTTGTGTCCTTGGGCAAGACACTTCACCTGCATTGTCTACTGATGGTGGTCAGAGGGCCCGGTGGCACCAGTGAACGGCAGCCCCGCTTCTGTCAGTGAGCCCCAGGGCAGCTGTGGCTACAATGTAGCTTGCCACCATCAGTGTGTGAGTGTGTGTGTGAATGGGTGAATGAATGTAGTGTAAAGAGCTTTGGTCAAGTCTCCTGACTTGAATAAAGGCGCTTTATAAGTACATGCCATTTAATGACAGAATGAGTTAATGCAGTAAGTCAATATTTGAAGTGTTGACCTCTCTTCTTCAGGACTTCTGCAATTCTCCCCGGCATGCTCTCAATCAACTTCTGGACCAAATCCTGACTGATAGCAGTCCATTGTTGCACTATCAATGCTTGCATTTTGTCAGAATTCCTAGGTCTTCGTTTGTCCACCCGTCTCTGGGAGAAGTTGATCTCGGAGGACATTCTGGTACCATTCGTTATTCATTGCTGTGTTTTTAGGTAAGACTGTGAGAGAGCCGACTCCCTTCGCTGAGAAGCAACTCCACACATGAATGGTTTCAGGATGCTTTGCAGTTGGCATGAGACAAGACTGGTGGTAGCGCTCACCTCGTCTTCTCTGAACAGGCTGTTTTCCAGATGTCCCAAACAATCGGAAAGGGGATTCATTAAAGAAAATGACTTTACCCCAGTCCTCAGCAGTCCACTCCCTCTACCTTTAGCAGAATATCAGTCTGTCCCTGATGTTTTTCTTGGAGAGAAGTGGCTTCTTTGCTGCCCTCCTTGAGACCAGGCCTTGCTCCAAGAGTCTCCGCCTCACAGTGCATGCAGATGCTGATTCCTGAGCAAGCTCTGCACTCCTGGTAGCACGATCCCGCAGCTGAAACACTTTTAAGAGACGGTCCTGGTCCTTGCTGGTCTTTCTTAAGCACCCTGGAGCCTTTTTGGCAACAATGGAACCTCTCTCCTTGAAGTTCTTGGTGATGCGATAGATCATTGACTGAGGTGCAATCTTTCTAGCTGCGATTCTCTTTCCTGTTAGGCCATTTTTGTGCAGTGCAATGATGACTGCACGTGTTTCTTTAGAGATAACCATGGTTCACAGAAGAGAAACAATGATGCCAAGCACCAGCCTCTTTTTAAAGTGTCCAGTGGTGTCATTCTTACTTAATCATGACAGATTGATCTCCAGCCCTGTCCTCATCACCACCCACACCTGTGTTAATGGAGCAATCACTGAAACCATGTTAGCTGGTCCTTTTATGACAGGGCTGCAATGACGTTGAAATGTGTTTTGGGGGATAAAGTTCATTTTATAGGCAAATATTGACTAGTGTATAGGATTTCCTGAAAGCGCGCACATGCGCGATCACGACGCTACGGAAGCCGGCAGACCAAACCAGCGCATTCAGCTCGGCAAAGAACTCATGTTCTTCCTCAACACTGAAGTCCTCAGACATTTTTCTTTCGTTGTTTCTTTCTTTGCACAGGTAAACAGCACATTTCTTCTTCTACGCTTGCATTATTGGAAGAGCAGACGCTGAATGCGCACTTTCATCTGGTTTGGTCTGCCGGCTTCCGTAGCGTCGTGATCGCGCATGTGCGCGCTTTCAGGAAATCCTATACACTACTGTTTATGCTCTAAAAACATTCTAAATGACTTCGTTTCGAGTAAATTCTGGATGCTACCCACTCAGGACACTTGGAATACATTGGACGAGCAGTATGGAGGAATATTGACACGTTTTTTGTGGACTTTTATGGACCTTTCTGCCTCGGGCACCATAGACCTCCATTATTTGAATGTCAGCAGACAGCAAGAAGCCTCCCAGATCTCCAGATGCATTTGAGATATCAAAAAAGTACTCCAGGGTGTTGTTCAGCATGGGGGTGAGTAGAAAATGAAGGCTAATCATGTTTTGGGTGTACTATTCCTTTAAATGTATAAACACAAATGTAATCCATTAATAATTTACCCTTTATATAATTTAATTAATTTGTACTTTATAGCAATAGGAATAATAGAGTAATATATCATTGAAAAAGTATTAATTGAATAAATATTCAAGTATTCAAATATCTTTTTTGCTTTTATGTAGTTTGACTATTGACTTTGGGCATGACATCAAGGGTCTAAAAGTTATATGATTTAGCACATATTAGCCTCTATTTAATTTTTGTGTAAATAAATGAGAGGTTTAGAAGACTCAGATTCTACCTTTATTGTTGTGTTTATACTGCAATGGTCAAAAATGATGTGAAAATGCATAATGCATCTGTTGCAATAGTTTTAGTGAAATAAAATAGGTTAAACAGCTTGACAGTAAGATAACACATATCTCTCTAATGCACTTTGCTCAGGGCTTTCTCACAACAAGCTTTGCATGTGTGGTCAATCACATACTAGCTGCAGGGATGCGACAACTGTAATATAAATTATTTTACCACCATTGCATCTGTGCCCCCTCCAGTTCGGTCGGGCCTGCGTACTCTAGTGAATATCCACTTTTTGCGCCGCTGACAAGCGGCTATAAGTTATGAGAGGTCGGTGTGTGCAAATTTGAACAGCACAGAGGATGCTCATTGCTCACTTTACTTGGTCAGTCTACTCATCTTGCAACAATACACTGTGCACAAACTGACACCGCTGCAGAACCCAGTTACCGGACCAGAAGTTTACTTTTGCTGGAATTGGGAGTCGTAGTGGTTTTCTGAAGCAGCGCTTAGCTATTAGCAGAAGGGCAAGTTGTGTTGATCATGTGACCAGCCACGGTTACCGTGGCACGGTAGGTCTAAATTATTATTATTTTGGGCATGCACACACACAAACGTACAAATACACATAGATACAAGCACACAGTTTAAAAAAGAAATAATAATAACTGGCAAAAGGGCACTTTGGGCATCAAGGGGCAGGTGCTCAAGCGCATTCAGAGATTTATAGACTAACAGAAGTATTTTAAGGTCTATTCTCTGAGATACAGGGAGCCAGTGTAAGGACTTTAGAACCGGGGTGATGTGCTCTACTTTCTTAGTCTTAGTGAGGACATTGGCAGCAGCTTTATGAATCGCCTGCAGCTGTCTTATCCACTTTTTAGGCAGACCTGTGAAAACACCATTGCAGTAATCAATTCGACTAAAAATAACGCATGGATTAGTTTTTCCAGATCATGCTGAGACAGATCAGGCTCCTTTCCTGTTAAACCAACTACCAGTTTTAGTCCGTGAGGATGACCCCCTGTCTACTTTTAAGGCTAGGCTTAAAACTTTCCTTTTTGATTATAGTTAGAGTGGCCCAGGTTATCCTTAGTTATGCTGCTATAGGCTTAGACTGCTGGAGGACATAGAGAACCCTTTTTCATCATTCTACCTCTATTCTCGCTCTCTGCAAAATCTACTAGTTCAATCTCTAACGCTCTGCTCTCTGCTTTTTCTCATAGTAGCTTCATCTGGTCTGTTCCTGTTTGGCTGTGACTCCATCCTGGAGAGAAATATCAGCTGTGCTGCTGCCATCAACACCTTTGTTTCTAGATGTTGGAGCTTGGCCTGTTTTTCAGTGTAGTCCTGTTTCTCTGACTGTGACTAACTGGATGTGCTCTCTTCATCCTCTGACATGTGAGCTGGCTCGGAGCTTGTCTGCCTGGCTGTGTTTTTCCTAGATGGGGCCGCCTGTGGAGCTGGTTGACAGTTGCCTTTTGTATCTATGCTTCTTTCTCTATGTCTGCTTCTGTCTCCTTGAACCCCAGTCGGCCTCAGCAGATGGCCACTCACACTGAGCCTGGTTCTGCTGGAGGTTTCTTCCTGTTAAAAGGGAGTTTTTCCTCTCCACTGTCGCTACAAGCACGCTTAGTGTGAGGGATTGCTGAAGAGTCAATGAGTCGATTCATTCAGCTGATTTTCCTTATTTAGAAAACTTTGTATCAATCTGACTGGATGATCTGGTGAACTGTAAAGTGGCCTGAGATGACATGATGTGAATTGCCGCTATAGAAATAAACTAAAATAAAATTACTCTCTAAACCTTTTTTCTAAGTTTTTTTAGTATCCGTTTTTGAAACCGTTTCCTAAAATTATCTGTTTTCAAGTGTTCTTTGCTTTCAGAAATATTTTTTGGAATTGGATTTTTTTTTTGGACCTATGTTTCACAGAAATATAAATACAGATTCTTTAGTTAAATCAAACTGATGTATTCTCTGTCGTTACAGATCAAGCCAAATCTGCAAAAGTAACTACCAACCAGAACGACCAACATGAAGCGAGCATCAAAGGTCAAACAGGACCAGATTGTTTCACAAGCTCATCTTCCCCTGACCAGTCAGTTGCCAAAGCAACCAGGGACGCCCTTCTGGTCAAACGCTTTGCTTCCAAAGCAAAAATAGAGATCAATAAGCGAAAGAATGAAAAAAAAGCAAATGAAAAGAAAGCAGCGAGGACTCTAAGCGCCATCCTTTTTGCGTTCATCACTACATGGCTCCCGTACAACATTATGGTGCTGGTCAACACTTTCTGCCAGGACTGCATTCCTGAATCTCTCTGGGCTTTGGGCTACTGGTTGTGTTACGTTAACAGCACGGTGAACCCCATGTGCTACGCTATGTGTAACAAGACCTTTCGCACAACTTTCAGGGATATATTAATCTGCCAATGGAATCGAAACAGAAACAAACCCAACTTTTCTCAGAGGAAAGCTGTTGGCTTCCGAAAGGACAACAGATAGAGGAACTCACTTTTGAAGCTCATATAATTCACCTATGCAAGACCTCTTTCTGCCACCTCTGTAACATTTCCAAACTCCCACTCTCTCCTTCCCAGACAACGAAAAGCTGTTTCATGCATTGCAACACACTTCTCATTGGGAACCCTAGAAACAGTCTGCAGAGGCTTCAGTACATTCAAAACTCTGCAGCTAGGATCCTGATGAGAGTGCAGAAACATGAGCACATTACCCCCATTATCCAGGTTTGAATACAAGGTTTCCCTCCTCACACATCAACGCGTGCATGGACATGCCCCCCCACCACCTTAAAGAACTTATCAACCCACAGAACACAACCCGCTCCCTTTGCTCCACTCACTCATAGATAGGGCATTTTATGCTGCTGCCCCACATCTGTGGAATGTCCTCCCTGACACCCTGAGGGCTCCTCAATCCGCTGAGTGTTTTAAGAAAGGCCATAAAAAAATTTCTTTTTAGCAAAACTTTTGGTCCCCTTTAGATGTTTTTCTCTCTTCTAAAAATACCTTTTTCATGCTTTTCCCTTTTTGTACCTGTAGTACTTTGAGATCTTTTGATGGAAAGTGCAGTATAAATTAAATGCTAAAAGGTTAGCCTCTTTTAGCTCGGTCAGTTAGCCATACTGAGCTACAATACTTTTAACTCTTTTATTTGTCTAAAATCTCTATGAAAGTATTTTTTTTGTCATTTAAAGTAATCCAAAACGATAGTCATTTGTCTTCCTCTGCCCTCAGATTTTAAAGTCGCATGGAAGCGGCTGTTCCAACCGTTGCGTTTCCGAATTCTCCCGAGTGGTGCCCGACTTTACACGAGTGAATAAAGTGATTGTGATTGGTCATTTATCAAAGGGATGGGATTGTTGCAAGCAAGTTTGGTTGTGGCCGGTTTCTCTGAAGCATCTTGCTAACCAGTAGGCAACTTAGTGCTAGTAGGTTCCCAACGGGAAATTCCATCGGGACCAAGTAGCACTAAATTGGTGACTTAGAAACGACACTGTCAAGGAACGCTATGGACAGAGGAAACATGCAAGAGGAGGAGAGTTTAGTGTCGGAGGTCATGGATGAATATCCTTTGTCATATGTTTTTAATTCATAGGAGGAAGATGTTGTGGAAGAGGACGGCAGGGCGGCTGAAGCTTGGTCTGGTGTAGAAGGCTTCCAGCCGTACATGTTTGAGCCCTTGCTTCGCAACGCTGCCAGTTCTGTTAGCTCTGTCATTACCCGATCCGTACCATCAGCTCATTTGCGCCTGCGCAAACAGAATAACTTCCGGTTGCAATATTTCCTTTTTCTTACTTTTTTATTCTTTTGTATTTTTTAGAGGCATGGGTTTCTTTTTGTATATCTTTGTATTTTCGTCAATATTGCATTTTCTAAAAATAAAAAACAGAAATACATAAAAAAGTTCAATCGCCTTGTGATAGTTACTTTGACTGCTCTGAGCATGCGCAAATATATGTCACACAGCGTATATATTTAAATTTGTTTAAATATTTGATTTACTCTGTACTTAACTATGCACTCCAGCAGTACTGATCCCACAATGGATTAATTTGCTACCTTTCGTGACCTGCAGTTTTTCATAATATATTCCCAGACTGCTCTTAGCATGTCTGATGATGACGTCAAGCAATACAATGGATTGAATTAAAAAAGCATCCATTTCTTCCAGAAAAGTCTTGAATATTGTCTTTACGATGTAGTTTAGTATTCTTTAATTATTTAAGGATATAAATAAAGTTTTTTCAGTACCGTAATTACATTATTTTTTGGCGACCCGGAAGTTATTCTGTTTGCGCAGGAGCAAATGAGCTGATGGTACGGATCGTGCTACCGGTACGGATCGGGTAGCGACAAGCTCTACACCTGCCGAGGACCCAGACGTCCATCCCTGTGAACACTGGGACGGACCTCAGTGGGAAAGGAAATTACTCTTATTTCAACCGTGGCGTATATTAGCTGCGACATATGAATCAAGATGCTATGACTGAAAACATTTGATTGACAGATGACCGTTGATATATGATTTAGGTGTTCAGGCTGACGTATAACTAACTGGCCTGCATAAAATAACGGAAAATAAAACAGAATTTTTCTAAATTTTGGGACAATATTGTCTGATAAAGAGTACATTTGTATACATGATTAAGCCAGAATGATTTGACATTTAAATATGACTTCCCTGCGACTTTAATAATAAGAATAAGAAGAAGAGACTTTTTGTGTCACCTTGTTAAATGGCAGAGCTCAGTCTGTCTTAGAAGGCAATACTGTACTTTCCTTCAACGTTGAGAATGATTGTTTTCTGCTTTCGGCTACTTTAAAACGCAGATGAAATGTAAAATAATAGCAAATACAGGTAATGATATGTTTAGACTCCAGAAAAGAACTAATTTATAAGAAACGGGTAAAATACAATTTGTGGAGTTGCCATACAATGACTCCAAAAAGGGGCGGGGCCTCGAGCAGATCCAACCACCCAAACAGATCTGGTACTTAAAGCGGGCAGCCCTCTGTAACCTTACCTACAAGCTGAATTTTACTTCCATTTTCTATCCTGCTTCCTCTTCCTACCTCCTTCCTTCCTACCAGCACCGTTTAGACTCCTCTGATCATCTGGATCCAGACCATATCTCTCTGAAATAAAACGTCCTTCAAGGAAACATCTATAGAATGTGGGCAGCAGAGCAGACCAAAAGCTTGATGTCCACAACATGCAGACTAACAACAGCATCACCACTTAAACATCATGATTATCTGTAAAGTCTCACTTTGACTGAAATGTATTTCCTTAGCAACATTTCTCTCATGCTTCTGAATCTCTTTATATTTTCAGTTTTTGTTAGTGTTCACTTTGTCGCTGCTATCTGGACTATTTGCTCATAACTTTTATTATTTTCTGGTTGCTGTGGTGCAGAAAAGAATTAAAGAACCTAACATTAAAAAAACTGAAGATGTGTTTATGTTTATTCATCTTTTGACAAAAGCTTGCTTTTCTAAATGTGTCTAATGAACAGCAGAGTTATTTGTGTGTCACACGGAAAAGACATGAAATTAAAACGGATTTGATTCAGGGAGTGGGGGAAAAAAACTCAACATATGACCAAATTCTGACCAGTCTGTGTCCTTGGGGCTCTAAAACTATTTGCTCCTGTAGCCACACAGTGTCAGACTTTGGTTTACATGGGGAGGTTAATCTGTATGGAGGGAATTTTGTTTCATTATTGTTGCAACAAACATGTTTTGTCAGTAAATCTGCTGTTTTTTTTGTTTTTTTTCGTCAATTATTTTCTTATTTAAAAAAAAAATCCAAGAAATGTACATTTACATAAAGCCTTTTTGACACCATAATGGAACAAAATTCACTCCATAAATATGAAGAAAAATATTTCCCAGTATTATTGAAAGCAAAGAACAGATAATTTAAGGAACATGTCTTTCAAACATTTTAAAAACTGTTTTAATAAAAGTACAATTTATAATGTGTATGGAAAATATCATCATGCACTTTTACAGTTCTGCCTGGGATCAATCCAATCCCATTCAACTTGTTTTATAAAGCACTTTAAAATTTCTCAAAGGAACAAAGTGCTGAACAGTGGAATAACATAAAACCATTACACGGACTAAAAAAAAAAACATACAAGCAGAACTATAAAATATAGACTAAAATAAAAATAAAAGTAATTTAAAATAATGCATCACAGACTAAAATCAACATCTCACACAGTTTAGAGAGCCAAGGCAAAAAGATGAGTTTTTAAGAGCGATATAAAATCAGACAAAGAAGTGGTTCCACAGAGAAAGCACCATCGCCCCTAAGCTTCCCTTTAGTTTTAGGCACCTGAAGAAGCAGCTGATTGGCTGAAGTGAACGGGAGGGAGGGTGCATGAACGTGCAGCAAGGCCTTGGAGAGACTTAAAAACAAATAAAAGAACTTTAAATGAATCCTAAAATGTACAGGGAGCCAGTGTAAGGAGGCTAAAATTGGGGTAGTGTGCCAGATAAAAGACGTGCTGCAGTGCTTTGCGCTCTCTGGAATTGAGCAATATTAGAGGCACTAACCCCCAAATAAAGAGTGTTACAGTAATCCAGTTGGGCAGTGATAAAGGCATGGATTACTGTCTCTAAATGATCTCTGGAGAGAATTGGCTTTATTTTGGCAAACTGCTTTAAATGAAAGAAACTTTTCTTCACAGTTGCCTTTATCTGGTTGTTGAATTAAAATCTGTACCCAGGTTTGTGATAACTGACTTCCTATACTGCGCTAGGTAACCTAGCTCGGTGAAGGGAACCTCAGATGTGCCGCTAAAAACCATGACCTCAGTCTTACTCTTATCAATAACCAAGACCACATACGTTAGTCATGTCGTAGGGAAGTCGTATTTAAATGTCAAATCATTCTGGCTTAATCGTGTATATAAACGTACTCTTTATCAGACCCAAAAGTTAAAAAAATCTCTATTTAAAAAAAAATTGTGTCTTAAAATCTGTATTTTTTTTTGTTATCTTCTGCAGGCCAGTTAGTTATACGTCAGCCTGAACACCTAAATTCGGCCAATCATATATCAACGGTCATCTGTCAATCATATTTTTTCGGTCATAGCATCTTGATTCATATGTCGCAGCTAATATACGCAACGGTTGAAATAAGAATAATTTCCTTTCCCATTGAGTTCCGTCCCAGTGTTCACGGGGATGGACGTCTGTGTCTTCAGCAGGCGTAGAGCTAACAGAACTGGCAGCGTTGCGAGGCAAGGGCTCAAACATGTACGGCTGGAAGCCTTCTACACCAAACCAAGCTTCTGCTGCCCTGGCGTCCTCTTCCACAACATCTTTGTCCCCGCTTTCCTCCTCTAAATAAAAAATGGATGACGGAGGAGACTCATCCACGACCTCCGACACTAAACTCTCCTCCTCTTGTTTCCGCTGTCCATAGCGTTCCTTGACAGTGTCGTTTCTAAGTCACCAATTTAGTGCTACTTGGTCCCAATGGAATTTCCCATTGGGAACCTACTAGCACTAAGATGCTAACTGGTTAGCAAGATGCTTCCGAAAAACCGGCCACAACCAAACTTGCTTGCAAGCCTTCCGCCATGGCAATCCCGCCCGCTTTATAAACGACCAATCACATTCACTATATTCACTCGTGTAAAGTCAGGAACCACTCGGGAGAATAAGAAAATGCAACGGTTGGAACAGCCGCTTCCCTACGACTTTAACTGAAGAGCAGAAATCAGTACCTAGAGAGAACCTATGTGTGCAGAAGTCATTTGACTAAATTCTCCTGTAAATTCTTCTTCTGGGTCATGACCACCGACAGGCTTAAATTGGAAAGCAACCAGACTTTACCTCAGTATTTTGAAGACGTTTCCTTCCTGTCCAGGAGTTTTTATCAGTTCTCTTGGCTCCACCAGAAAAAAATGTGGAGCTCTGATGTAGTTTAGCAGCATGAAGTCTTCACAGTCCAATTCAGATGCTAATAGAATAGCCACCGAATGCTCCTCTGCATTGTTGGAGCCTTTTGTTGTGCCTGGGCTCTGTGATTGGTCCTTTTGAATCATCAGAGGTCTGATGTAACTTATTGGGAATGAGTTCCAGGACTGAAGTGTAAATGCTAAGAAGCTGAAACCCCAATCATAACCCCATTTTCTGATAATGAGCAACTGAGTGAAAGTCCGGTGTTCTGTCAAACCAGTATACCCATGGTTAATAACCATTTATCCCTTTAGTATATCCCATTAGTTTTGTATGACAAATGAACTTAAAACTACCTAAACTGCCATGTATCCCTTTAGTCATGTACAAAAAACAATTTCATTACTTTTTTCGTGTTTTTTTAAAGCGTATGGCCGTCTGACCTTACATTTTTTTTTTGTACATGACTAAAGGGATACTTGCCATTTGAGGTAGTTTAAAGTTTATTTTTTGTAAAAAAGTAAAAGGAAAAATGCAAATCTAACGTCTTGCTAATTCAATCTCTATTCAGTTTATTTCTATAGCGCCAATTCACATCATGTCATCTCAAGGCACTTTACAGATCAACCAGATCATCCGATCAGATTGATTCAAAGTTTCCTATGTAAGGAAAACCAGTTGATTGTATCAACTCTTTGACTCAAATACAATCCCTCACACTAAGCATGCTTGTAGCGACAGTGGAGAGGAAAAACTCCATAATGTGTTTTGACTATAGGTATGCTGGTCTGACGGGGTATGCTCATCTGACAGAACACCGGTCGTCTTCCAATTTAAGCCTGTTTGTGACTTTTAGTTTTAAAACAACTTTTCACTCCTTCCTGCTCCTCATTTCACCTTCTTACTGTTTTCTGTTTCATCCTTTAGAACAGAGGTCTTCAACAGGGGGTCCGTGACCCATGGAGGTACTGCATGGGGGTCGCAAAGGTTCTGGTTGATTAGACTTTTTTTTTCATATATTCCTACCTGCAATTTTTTTTTACAAATTAAAATGTCTTTAAATCCACATTGACAGGAATTCAACAGAGTGTAGTAAACAGATAAATGGAGGCAGAAGATGTCTTTCAGTCATCAATGCACACATTCAGCGACACACAGGAGCTCTTTCAATCTGGACACTGTTTCATTCACAACACCTCCATCTGTAATAGAGTGACTATAGGACCAGTTTGATAGAACACAATTTCATACAATATATATAAGTAGGGGGTCCCCGTTCCAATCCATCATCAGTTTGGAGGTCCTTGGCCTGGAAAACGTTGAAGACCCCTGCTTTAGAAGAAGTTTTGAGTCTGAGCAGGTGACCATTTCTTCATCGTGATCTCATGGTCTTTTGGCCCATTTCCACTAGTCCTCTGAAACTGATCCGTGCCGAGTTCACACTGAGCTTAACCGTGTAGAGTTTGGTTCTTGCAACTATTTCCACATGACGCTAGCACGGTTCCTCGCCTCCTATCAGCGGTCCACGATACTACAGCTCTCATGGCTGGATTTATGCAAACAATAAGGGCGGTGCCCAGAACATTCGGGAACTTATGTGCCTGGATAGCGTCCTCTGCCCAAATGTCAATGAGAGCCTTGGTCTCGGCATCATCCCAACACGCTCTTCTGATGCCATTTATTAACAAGCCGAGAAGAAGTTCATGTTGTGAACAGGTGAAGAGATCTGTGAATCGCAAAGAAATAAACGACTAAATGAGCCAGCTGACTGTAAACAGGAGACGAGGCGGTCTGTTCACGTTCTCTTTGTTATCAGAGAAACGCGCCACAGATGAACAGAGTTGTTGAACTATTACTAGATTTAGAGCTTTTTGGCACAGACCAGCTCAGTTACGTTCAATTTACAGTCAACAGTTACCTTGGTTACCATGCTCTGACCGTTCTCTGCATAGTTTCAAAAGAATCTTGTAAAACGGGTATTTGACCCAGTTTAGTAAGCCCCCCCCCCTCCAGCTGTGTCTCAGTGTGGATTACTAATCTGACATCAGATTAAACAGAAAACAATGCAAAAGCTTTGAGTTACATGCTTGTTTTATTGATCATTTTAAATCTCACTTTAGCATTTGAACCAATTACAGTAAACATCATGTTCCATTAGAAATGTTTGCAGATGACTGTTTGGTCTAAATTATCACTAAAATAATAATTTACAGCAGATTAACAACTTCAAGAAGACAAACAATCCTTCAGGTTCACATTTGGTTTGTTAGAAATCAACAAAAACAGTTTTAGGTTCGATCCTGCTGATGTTAAAACCCTTAAATGACTATTTTAATTCTGCACATCATGTTTATTCATATTTTATTTGGTCAGTTTGTTAGTAAAACTCTGCTGGTAAAAAATAAAATGAAATAAAAAATCCTGATTAAAAAGTGTTTCTATAAAAGTTTTTTTCTGAACGATCATAAAGCAGAGCAAATCCAAATGACTGTAAACATGATGGACGGGAAAGTCGTCACTAAAAACGGGTTTAATGAAGGTGGAAGATGTTTAAAAAGAGCTTTGTGTTCATAAAAGGTCTAAAAACATAAAAAAAATGTTGACTTAATGTCAGTGGAGGAGATATTCAAAGCTTCATCCAAAGTTACACAAACAAACATACATTTCCATGATAGAGCGGTTCACTACAAACATTTTAAAATAAGATGAATATTTGAAACTTAGCAGAACAAATAAACACTGATGATCTGCAATCCTCTTCAGATTACATGATTGAAGATTATCTTCACATAGAAAAATTCATGGTTCATGGTTGAGGATTTTTTAGTCAGGAATAAAATGATTGATCCAGGATAAAGTGCCAACATCCAAAAAACTTGTTAAACGTAAACAAGCTAAATGAGCTGCGTTGATAAAGCCTCAGCACGTTAAATATTAAAATATTTCAACTAATAAATAAGGAAGATAATATCCAGTCTGTCAGCAATATGGATTAATAAAGATGAACACAAAGAAGAAAAACGTTGACTGACCAGCAGAGGTCACTAACGCCATGGGGCCCTCAGGGACCACATTGGGCCCTCAGAACAACTCACCATTGGGCTAAATTTGAAATTAGATTTTATTCTATAGATTTGAACATATTAATCATAAACATAATTTAAGCATTTAAAGATTTCAAAATGATTATGTCTAAAACAAAATTAGAAATGAAAAGAAACAATAAAAATATGTTTATTATATATTAAGTTTAGATGAACGCTGACCGCTCCAGTTCATAGGTCAGCATTGGAAGCCCAGTCACTACCCGATCCGTTCCCTCCGCACCATCAGCTCATCATCAACCAGATATCCATCCTGGTCGCCCTCGATTTTGGTGGCAGCAGTAGCAGCGCCTCATGAGCTTCTGAGCAACTGAGGCACGTGACGCGATTCACAAGATGCAGCTTGAACTTTATCCGCTGGACGCGCTGCATCAACCAATCAGAGAAGCTGATCTGGGAGCTGGCAGGGAGACAGACGCAGCGCTGCTGATGCAGAGCGCTATGATCACTCCTCTGAAAATGTTTATTAACCAGTGACGTGCGGTGAGGTTCATAGCTGGTGAGGCACTGACGTCATCAGAATCAGATTTGCAAATAGATGCATAGATTGACAGCAGTTTACAGGTTATGTTTCACTTCTGCATCCTTACACATACAAACTGTAGCTCACAAAACACACATTTCCTTAAAAAACAAAACAAAATAAATGTTATTACTGTCTTACCTTTACTTATAAATGAATAGAAGTCCTCCTTATCTTCCTTCAGTTTTAAAAGTCTCTCTGTCTCAATGGAGATCACTGCCAGGGAAGAAAGCCTTCCTTGATCCGTCCTGTTCCTGCCTTATGTTTTCAGTCTCTTGAGCACCCCCTGCCATGAGGCAAGAGAACTGCCTGCCTCACCTCGAACTTGTTCTCTGCCGTTTATAATCGCTCATTACACGAAACACGTTACACAAACACAGTTGGTGACAAAAAGCTCTGTACATTATATACATAAGCCAAATTATTAGAAATAAGTTCACATATTACATTTGTTTAAACCATTTTATTGACGCCGTACAGCAACATGCTCTCTCCGCTTTGCAGCCAGCGCAGAGCCAGGGGTTGCGCAATCCAAGGTGAGGCAGAGCTCGCTGCTGCCTCACCGGCATCGCTTCCAAGCATTTGAATGGGAAAATAAGAAAATTCAGCGATTTTGAACAAATAAAAATCGAAATTGGTGAAGCTACATGAAAAATGAATATTTTTTAGTACAAACCACCGGATGAATATAACAATTTAAATTACTTTATGATTATATATTTTCTTTCTTTCCATGATGGCTGGTGAGGCACTGCCTCACCTGCCTCCCCTGACCGCACGTCACTGTTATTAACGCCTAAATTAACTGAAAATGTAAAAACCTGCCGACAGAATATGTTCGATTTTATTATTCTGGTGCCTGCAGTTTGGATTACGTACGTGAAGAACGCCTTCCAGCCGCTGCTGAAAACCTCGAGCAGGCGAGCGGGCCTGAGGCAGCTGCTGCTGGGGATTCCCAGTGACAGCGCACCGCCGGTATGTGGGGGTCTGAGCGGCTCCCACAGAGAAATAATCTTTGAAGGCAGGATGGTAATCTGGATGAACTGACTGCACAGACCGTGTTTTCAGGAGGACTTCAACACAGATTCAAATTACTTTTTACCCACTGATCACAGCAAATATAGCTGCCATTGTTCCAGGCAAAGAAATGATAGGGTAGCTCCGCCCAGCGTGCATCAGACCCACTTCCGACTGCGCAGCTAGAGCAGCAAAGATGCTTCAGCTATGCGTCAGAACTAAACTGGTACAAGCATCGAAAATGAAGCAGCATGCGCGTTTCTGCTGCTCTTGCTGCTTGCAGTCTGAACTTAGCATTACCAATAGTTGCCATGGTGATCTAAATGCAACGCCTTGATATGGACCATTGGTGGTGGACGGAGGTTTGGACGCAAACTTTGAGGTTTGGGATCTGGAAAGGAAATCTGCTCAGTTTGGTGTCTGGATTATAAACTAGGATTTTTTTGTCGTTTGAATTACGAAGTTTGCTGAACGTAGATTTTAAAAATAGATCCCATGTTTTCTAAATGAGACCCCTGAGTTTTCTGTAAAAAAAACACTGCAATGTCTGCTGCATTCATCGCTGAAAAAGAAAAGCGCTCCCTTCAATGTAATTTATTTTTCTTAAAATATGGGCATTTTTTCTTGAATTAAGGAGACAATTTCCCAATGAAATAAGACAATTTATGTTTAAAATAAGAAAAAAATTATTTCATTGTCTTTTTTCAATTGAATATTATCTAATTATCTTATTTTAAGAGTAAAATGAATGATTCTATTGGCAGATCATCTTATTTCCCCGCTCAAATTAAGGTGAAATTTAAGAAGTTTTTACCTATTTCTGGATTGTTTTTGCAGCTGTGTTTAGGTAGCGCGGACAGATCCGTGAGTCCAGAGCAGAAATAAAACAAAAAGCAGAAATAAAACTCTAACCGTGACTGTTAGAGGTGACTGCAGTGAGAACGAGCTCCTTCATGTCACACCCACAGTGTTTTTACCTGAGGGAGTTCCTCAATATTAAAATACTGCATGTTTAGAAAGTTTGATTCATACAGTAAACATATTTCAAGTCTGGTTGATGTTTGGTAGATAAAACGATCACAGTGATTTCATTTCTTCCTAGAATCGGCAGGCGGCTTTAAAAGCATCGCTGCTGAATCATGTTAGAAACTCAGCCCTGCTTGGTGCAGCAGAGACACCCATGAGCAGGATATACCTGCAGGAGCAGCTGCAACCAGCAGCCTCATCCTGTCAGCATCAAACATTCAGGCTATGAGGCTCTGAGGGACGGAGGTCGGCTCAGGGAGCTGACGGCTCAGCTGCTCGCCCAGCTGATGGTTTGGAGGGAGTGACCTTCACGTGGATGAAGAGAGAGGCGGGCGAGAGGCTGGAACCGTCCAGCTTCAGCAGACGGACATGGCGGTACCCTGCAGACGGAGAGGAGGAGGTAACCATCCAGACCTCCAGCATGTTCCACCAGACGTACTCAGACACCCACCTGTGCGCAGACTGCTAAACGGCAGCGTGAACTGCCCCAGGAAGTCGTTACTGGAGGTGTAGTCATGATCCTCCACCACAAAACGAACCAGAGCCAAGTCCGGAACGTGAACGGTGAAGTTAAAGGTGCAGTCCCACCGCGGGTTAAAGCCTGCAACACAGAACCAGAAGCGGGTCAGAAACAGCAGCCGCCGGGTTCCAGGGAGCCCTCGTTCCATCGCTGCCGGTACCGTTGTTGTCCACATGGTTGGTTTTCTTCTTGACGTTGTCGATGGGGACTCCATGTATCTCCACCCACACCTGAGGATCCACTATGGAGCTGGGTTTGTCCCAGTCCGGTTTGGGAAGCTGCTGGGCGGAAATGACCTTTTCCACCAGAAGGAGAATATACACACACATTAATTTATTTTTCAGCTGCTCAAAGCAAAAAAAAAACAATATCAGGCTGTTGGTTTGTTTTTAAAGAGACAGTGGTGCTGATTTATCCACTTAGACTTAAACCAACTTTATTTCCACATTTCGTTTTGTACGGCATCACATTTCCATTTCTTAAAGGAGAAGTCTGCCCACTGTGATGTCACTACCGGAAGATGGCAGGAGCGAGGAGGTGTTACTATATTTGGGCAATAATAGCCGCTCCCAGACTGTGATATTTTTTTACTGATTAACGCTAAATTAATTAAATCACAGTGAACGTATTAATCTTAGGGATAAATAATGATCCAATGATTATTCCTGCAGACCGGACTTCTCCTTTAAAGTGCAGCAGTGATCAAATGTAAACATTGGGAGAAAAAAACATGATATGAAAAGTTTGACGCAGAGACTGAGATGATTTAGAATGTTTTCAACATTCAGCTTTTTTCCCCCCAGTTTTTTTCAGAGTTCAGCCATCTGATGGCGGTGGGGAATTAAATGTTTTTTAATCCAATGGTTGCAGGTTCAAATCTAGCCAGTCAGAAATTATCAGTTTACTGGAGGTTTATGTCTTAAAGTTAAAATAAAGAAGACATTAGAGAAAATAAATGTTTTGATAACTAAACAGGTTAATAGTTTATATATTGTTTTTATATAATTTAGGGTTAATAACCACTTACTATTAAATAAAAAAAATGTCTGTTTTACAAATTTAATCTGAATGTTTTTTCCTATTTAATTTTAAACCTGAAGCAAACCGCTCCGTTTCTGTCGGCCATCAATAACGAGGCTCCTCACCCGGACAGTCAGCAGGACGGGTCTGTGGCCAGGACCTCCTCCGACGTTCTCCGGGTTGAAGGAGGAGCCGGGCTGCCTCATAAACGGCGGCTTCAGGACGAATCCACAAAGACCATTCTGCAAAAAACGTCCTCGATTCAGGTCCATCTGCTCTCCCAGCGTCTGGAAGTTCAGAGCAACTGCAGAGGAAGGAGGCATCGCAGCAGCGTTAGCTACACCACATGTCCACTAGGGGGCAGTGCATTTAACTGTGGCCAGGGCTGGATGTACGGAAGGTTAAAGGGAACAAAATAAAACAGTAAATATGGCAGGAAATAAATAGATGTAAATGTATTACGAAAACAAATAAATTTACCATGAAAATTATTTATAAATCATATAATTTACTATTTTAAGTATTAACTTATGTCATTATTAAATGAATGATTAAATAATGAAAAACAAAATCAAATATATACATGGTTACATTGTTAAATTTGTTTACCTGACACATCATTAAATAATTAAACGTACCTTTAAATTGTTAAATGTAAAATTAAATATTAAATGTTTATTAAATAATGAATTGTACCTTTTAAATTATGACGCTAAAGTCGTACGGAAGCAGCTGTTCCAACCGTTGCATTTCTGAATTCTTCAGAGTGGTGCCCGACTTTACATGAGTAAATAAAGTGAATGTGATTGGTTGTTTATCAAGCAGGATTGTTGTGGCGGAAGGTTCGCAAGCAGCTTTGTTGGTTTAAATAACTAAATGTCTTTTTTTCCTCATCATGAAATTATTGAAACCGCCAACTTCCCCCAGAAAACTCAGTGGGCGGGACTTGGGCTGCTGCCATAGAAACCCAGGCGTCTGATTGGCTGCTTTTCACAGGGATAGACAAGAAAACCTCTTCCTGTGTTTTATTCTTTATATTTTTACTCTAAATTGAATATTTTTGCCAGAAAAGTTTGAAATAAAGTCAAAAACTGTTGATGTTGATGGGTTCTGATTCGGCTGTTTTCTGCATAACCTGTCAAACATGGCTCACCTATCTGACAGCCAGCATTCCACATGTCCTGAGGGTTGTAGTTGGACGACTGCAGCCGTTGGCCTGACGGGTAAATCCTGCTGATCTGGTGACAGTTGTGACGAAGAAAATGCATCCCTGTGGAAGCGGCACGAGGAAGACAACTTTAGAGGAAACGTGAGCTGAAAGCAGCCTTTATAGGCGCTGCAGATGAATCTACCTGAATCCTTGATGAGTCTGAGGGCTTCACTCTCAGAGAACGAGGACATCTCAGTTGCTGGGTTTTTGGTGGCATCTTCGAAGCTTTTAAAGGGCACGCTGCGAGTGTACACCACCAGGTCTGACAGCTCTGGACTCAGCTTGGACACTCCTGGCTGCGGCCACAAACATTTCATCATTCAGCCTCCATGTTGCTTAAAAACACTATAAGACTGTACGTCGTGTGGATACGTAACTCAAGACCAGATTTAAAAGGTCCTGCAAAAGCAAAACTTCGAATAGCTATAGGTATAGTGGAGGATTTTTATGATAGTTTGAAAAGAGCCGCCTTCTCCATTTTAAAAAGAATGCACATGCACAACCCTGAACCCGAACGTCCACCCTAACCCTAAATCCCTTCATCGCTAGAATACAATTCAATTCAGTTTATTTCTATAGCGCCAATTCACATCATGTCATCTCAGCTCACTTTCCAGTTCACCAGATCATCCAGTCAGATTGAATCAAAGTTTTCTATCTAAGGAAAACCAGCTGATTTCATCGACTCATTGACTCTTCAGCAATCCCTCATACTAAGCATGCTTGTAGCGACAGTGGAGAGGAAAAACTCCCTTTGAACAGGAAGAAACCTCCAGCAGAACCAGGCTCTTACTATGTTTGGGCAAAAAGGGCCGTTGTCAGACGCAGTGATCGCAACAAAAATATTATTATTATTTTTTTTTTATTAAATTCTTTAAATCACCACAAAGTTTCAGGTATAGATAATGATCCATTGGTTATTCCTTGCTGACCAGACTTCTCCTTTAACTCTTCGCTATTCTTATAGATATCATTTTTCTAAGGTCCACATTTGTATGGCAATTTTTTTCTATGACCTTTTTGGTCCTGTAAACACCAGAATTTCTCCATTGTGGGAAAATAAAGGGATTTTCTATTCTATTCTCACTGACCGTTCAGACAGATGATCACTGCTTTTTGCTCCGTTGGTCACGTAACTCCTCCTCCACCACACGGTGCCTGCGCCATCTTTGTTATCAGTCGCTGCTGTCGGCGATAGCGGCCCCTGTGACAGCAAATCCCATAATGCTTTGCGAGGACAGCTCTCCATGAAAAGCATTCTGGGATATATCTGCCTCTTCTGAGGCCTTTCTTTTTTTCTCATTCACTTCTTACACTTTTTCTCTTTCGACCCTCTGCTATTTTCAAAGAACCGCGGTGAGAAAGGTGAGCTTCAATGACTGTCTGAAACCGTAGCTCACCACAAATATGCGCCTGAAAGAAAAAGATAGCTAACAGGACGGGAACGTAGGACGGCCTTATGGAAACATCACCAGAATGATTGACAGGTAGGAGGACCACTGATTGAGATGATCCATCCGGAAATGAAAGATCCTCCTCTATACCTTTAAGAAAAGCTGAAAACTAGCGCCACCCAGAAGCACTCCTGACCACCAGGGGGAGATGATCGCTATCTGAGTGACACCACTACACCTAAACAGGACGCTCTGCACCACTTGCTCTCCTGTCATCATAATATTAACGGATCATTAACAGCATTCTTCCTGATTGCACGAGCAAAATGTCGTTAACAGAAGTAATTTACTGGAATTCGGGACCTTATCGGAAGCTGATTGGTTCAGTAACAGCTGGCAGTCTGTCAGCCAATCACAGCCAAGGGAAAAGGAAGGTGACCCACCTTCTTGTCTTCTTTCTTTCCAGATGCTTTTCCACGACTCGCCTCGTCTTCTGATGAGTCCAAGTCTGAAGAACCGGACGAATCTTCCTCCACCTTCTCCTTCTTCCCCTTGATGAGGACTTTACCCTTTAGATCCTGAACATCCAACCAACATTCCTCATTAGGTTTCAACAGAAGGGGCCTTCAGGAAAGAAACACTCCTCACCTTAAACTTTGCTATTAGATATCAGGAAACTAAAGTTCCATGGTTTTATTTCTGGATAGCATAAAAACATCTGCTTCACCACAGAAAGTCTTTACCTCTGGAAACGGCAGAGAAGACGCCGGCAGGCCAACAAGCGGCTTGAGGAGCAGCTTGTCTCCAAGGATGGATTTCAGGTGTCGAGCCATGACGGTCTGCTGCTCCACGGAGCAGTGGTTCTCCAGAGACAGGATCAGAGGATAGGGGGACGCCTGAGGGGGTCAGAGGTCAGAGCTCAAGGAACATGGCCGGAAAGCCAGTCATTCATAATGAGCACTTTTACAGTTAGTAACATGTATTTAAAGCTTATATTCTGCTAAGTAAACTAATCTGCAGGTTTACTAGTGGTTCCTAGAATTTCTAAAAGTAGAATGGGAGGCAGATCTTTTAGTTATCAGGCTCCTCTCCTGTGGAACCAACTACCAGTTTTAGTCCGTGAGGAAGACACCCTGTCTACTTTTAAGGCTAGACTTAAAACTTTCCTTTTTGATAAAGCTTATAGTTAGAGTGGCTCAGGTTATCCTGAGCTATCTCTATAGTTATGCTGCTATAGGCTTAGACTGCTGGAGGACATAGGGACCCCTATTTAATCATTCTATCTCTATTCTCCCACTCTGCAGAATCTATTAGTTCAATCTCTAACGTTCTGCTCTTTCTGCTTTTTCTCATAGTAGCTTCATCTGGTCTGTTCCTGTTTGGCTGTGACTCCATCCTGGAGAGAAATATCAGCTGTGCTGCTGCCATCAACACCTTTGTTTCTAAATGTAGGAGCTCGGCCTGTTTTTCAGTGTTTAGTCCTGTTTCTCTTCTAGACATAGCTATGGGTTTAGATTTAAATAGGAACTTCTCTCTTTCATCTTTTGACAAGAAGACTGGTTCAGAGCTTTGATCAACTGCTTCTTTCCCAGAGAGCCTCCTGTGGAGCTAGTTGAAAGTATGAATGCATGACAGATGGATCCTCACCTTAAAGGCGTACTCGTTGATAGTCTTGATCACCTCAACAAAGGGCACCTTGGATGTGAGCGTGTGTCCGTGATAGATGACGGGTTCTCCTCCGTCTCCATCCCAGCAGTCCAGCTCCACACAGCGGCAGCCGTGACTCAGAGCCCTGAGGAACAAATCATCAGGTTGTTTATCGCAGGAGGAGACAGACCAGCTGGCCTCTGCAGGGAGGGAGGAGGTGTTTCATAAACAGCATATTTTAGAGAGAACCAATGTGTGCAGAGAACCCAAAAACAGATCTATAGTAGAATTAATCCTCACTTTATCCAACCAGGAAATGAGTTAAGAAGGATTTGGTTAAAAGGCTACTGAATTACTCGATAAGTGATCTAGGTTCAACTCATGAACATCTGATTTAATATCTTCAGAATGATCTAAAGTTACAAAACTTATTAAGGTATGTGAAAATTATGGTTTTTCACATAATGAGATAAAAATAAACATATAACAGTAATGACATCATAACAGGTTGAAATAGAAGTTACACTTCAAAATAAACATTTTGAGTGATAAAATCAAAGCTGCAGTATGTTTTACAGAGTCAAGGGATGTTCCTCACCGTATGTAGGCCTCGGTGCTGCTGTCCCCAGTCAGCTGGTCCTTGGTGAGGTAGGTGTTGTGGGAGGAGGAGATGAAATAATGGGACAGCGGCTGTTTCATGTCCTGATAAACTCTCAGATGGTCGGGGTTAAACACACAGTTCTCCTTAGACAGCATGTACATGGTGAAACCATTAGGGGTCATGAACTGGTTCCTCTGGGCTGCAGAAGGAAAAAATACAGTCGGTGAAGAATTTGAGTGATAATGTGTGTAAAACAGCTAAATATTTATGCTGTGACTGGTTTCCTCATGATGGTAAATATTGTGAGTTGCTTGGTTTCTGTCAGGATTCCTGTCTGTGTGTTTGTGTTTCTGTGTTTGTCTCCCTACCTCCAGCAGGAGGCGCCTGGTTCTTGTCCGCCTCCTCACACACCTGCTGATGGTTACCTCATTAACGGAGTGCTCTTAAGCTGCTGACTGCCACTACCTCGACGCCAGAGTGTTTGCCAGTTTTGGGTACTCTAGCCAAGCTGAGTTTTGCTGAGTCAAACTGAGTTCTTGTCAACCTGAGTCTTAATCTTGTTTTTTTTTTTGTCTTTGCCTCTCAGCAGGAAGTCATCCTGCAAACTGGATGTTTCGGACCTTCTCTCCCTGGAAGGATCATCTGGGCTTAAAACTGAGCTAAGGATTTAAACTGGAGGTTGGAATCTACTTTTCCCCAAGAGATCGTTTGAGTTTCACACTGAGCAAGGGATTCATCTCCTCTACGACCCGTTCAAGTACCGCAGGAAATCTTAGTGGCAGTCAGCTTCTCCATTCACCTTCAAACAACAGCATTCTGGGTAAACCCTGTTCCGCCCTCCACCGAATCAGACAAACACTGGAACTACAGCACACAGACAGGAGTCAAAGAGTTAAAAACTTCTCTGGAAACGTGAGTCAGCAACCAAATCCTCCTCTCCAAGTTCACAAATCAAGTTTCCCACTGAGCCTGAACTAATCACTGTGTCTGTCACTTTTAAGTTCCGGTTGAGCAGTGTTCAGAGCAACACTTCATTCTGCATTATCTCTTCAATAAACCTGTTAAAAAAATTTTCCCCTGGTCTCTCTGAATTGGTTTCTCTGCATGTGGGTCTGAGCTCTTGATAAAACCATGACAGTTTCCAAACACAGGCTAATAACAAACATACAGCAGAGGTTTACATACATGCATACAAAAACACAACATTAAATCACACTCAGCATTTCCTGTTTGAGGTTAAACTAGACTCACTACTTTTTTATTTTTATTAAACTATAGAATGATGAGAACTAAACTTTATTTCGTTTCTCCACTCTGCATAACATGATCGAACCCCCCCCGCCAATTATATGCTTATAATAAGAATAAGAATATCTAAAAAAAAAAAAATAGAGTTATGCAGTTATGCACATTTTCCCAAAATAAACGTTGTAGTGTGATCCCAGCCCAGTGGGAGAATTGTTTGGAGGAAACTACGGTTGTAGCTCACTCTCTGCCTAAACCATCAATCTTAGCTTATATATATCTGCTGAAATATATTCAACACATGCACAGCATAATGTTCAGCCAGTGGTGCGGTTTTTTATCTTCTTCTCCTTCAAAGGCGGCTGGTGAACAACTTTTACAGAAGCATCCATTCAAAATTTCCCCACTTTCCTTGATGGGTCATTGGCTGGTTCCCTACAATTCTTTTTTAAACATTCATCTCATGATTTGTGGATATTAAGATCTAAAGAGAAGCGCCATCTCCTGGTCAGACCCTGTAATTCAGTAAAAGGGTGGGGTCAGAGCAAAAAAATGTGGCGGTCACTGCCGTGGCTGGAAGGTGGAGGGGATTTTGCTCTGAGTTGGAGGGAAGTGTGCTGCCATTTGGCTGCAGTTTGACTGGGAAGTGCCATTTTGCTACTGTAGGTGCACCACCACTACCAGCTGGTTTTTATGTTTAAATATGTTATTTAAATTTTTGCATTTGTAACGCCTGATCTTGTATTTGAATTGAACAAATGAATTCTCAGCCTAATTTTTTCTGACATATCAACAATAGAAGTAATTCTTGTAATGTTCTCTCAGCCTGAGAAATGAAGGTCATCAGTTGGGTCCCTCACCCCACTCGTTGAGTTCGTAGGTCAGGATGAGGCTCTGAGCGTGTGTGACTGAGGCGTCCTCCCCCTGGTCCTTCAGGAAGCCCCTCAGGTCCACGGTTGAGAGAACGCAGCCGTTAGCAGAATATCGAATGAAGACGGCATCCAGTTCCGGACGCCGCAGCAGTTCTTTGCAGAACACTTCAATCTCCTCATGGTCCAGACGGCCATCGGCGGAGCGGTCACATTTCTGCGGGTGAGATGGGTTGCAGCGGTCGGCCGGTTATGGAGCAGATCAAAGCCAAGGGTGGGAGCTGGTCTACCTGGAAGAGGCTGCGGGCGTACTGATCGCTGAGGTCGATGTTGATCATCTGCAGCAGCGTCTGCACCTCTTCGTAGCTCATCTTGTCGTCACGGTTACGGTCTGCTCGACTCAGATAGGCATGGATCCAAGTGACAGAAAAAAACAGTTAAGGAAGCAGACCTTAAAACAGGTCTAGGAGGAGAGGTCCTTCTATGGCAGATGAAGGATATTGGTCCAGTTTCTCCTTGTGGGTCATGTTGTCCACTCTCTCCTGCAGAGTCCGGATGCCTCGGGCCCAGCGCTCAGCTTCCTCCTGGCTGCTGCAGAGGAGATCCAGGCTCTTCCGCGGCCCTTTGAAGACCACGGTCAGACATCGGCCCTCTGGCACCGAGCCCGCCATCCGCCGCAGGGTTTCTGACTGGCAACCTTCACGGACACACTGCACCTCCATGACGGAGACTGAGGGAAGGAAAAAACACAACCGAGGAATAAGAGCTAATAATCATCTTAGTGTCCGTTACCTTTCTGGGAAGGGAAAACGATTAACTGACCACTGAATAATTAGTGAGAGACAGAATGTAAGAGGTGAAAGGTCAAACCACAGGCCTGAATATTTAAACTGGTCAACTGGAGTAAAATCCAAACATGTAGAAGAAGCTGGCAGCCAGATGTTGAGCTGTTCCTCTAAATTAACCTTCAATGCAATTTGCTTTGATTGTTAGTGAATAAAAAAACTGATTTATAACAAAAAAAACTGTTACATAAAGAATGGAAGATAAAAAAACGAAAAAGAAAAATCTAATTCTGTAGCTAAATATACATTTCAGTATATTTATACGTCAAATCTATTCATCTGAATGTAATGTTTACGACTAAACCTTTAAATCTCCCCTTTGTCAACTCGAGGTCACGCTCCGCGGCGCGTAGGAACACATATGAGAAGGGGAGGAGTCCCTCTGTAGGTACCAGATCTGCTCGAGGCTCCGCCCCTTCTTATGACATCAATATATGGCAACTCCACTTGGACAAACTGTATTGCACCCGTTTCTTAAGGATCAAACCTCTTTTGAAGTCTCAGCATATTAATCCCTTTAATTGCTATTATTTTACATTTCATCTGTGATCTAAAGTAGCCGAAAGTAGAAAACAATCACTGTCAGTCTTGAAGGAAAGTACTGCCTTCTAAGACAGACTGAGCTCTGCTATTTAACAAGGAGATAAGAAAAGTGTCTGCTTATTTTTATTCTTTTCATTAGGATCTGAGGGCAGAGGAGTTGTTCACCAGAAAAAGATTTTTTTTTTCTTAGACATTAGGGCTGCCTACTCCCTGAAAAAAAGGGTCACCTCATGTGCGTCCCAGCTGACCCGGTTGCCGTCAGCGTTTAAGCCCCCTTTTGTGTGTGAAATTATTTTTTTTAAATATTTGACTCAAATCTGCATTGAATTAGATGCATATCTAAGAGTGACATGAACACATGGAAAACAAATTATTATCCAGTTATTATTATCCAATTATTATCCAATTCACTTTATCACAAAATAACAAACTTTGCTGAATAAAATAAGTATCTTAAACATTAGCCTGTCCTGCTTCACTTTAAAGTGTAAAAATGAATATAAAACAATATATAAATAGTGCATATTTTTGGTGCAACAGTAAACTTGTAAATTTCCTTTGTGCTCTTGCAGCAGTGAGTCGTTTGTCTTCCAGTGCTGCAGAGTAAAGCTGAATAAAGCAGCGTCAGCATTTAAATTCCTCCGTTCGTCCCCCATCCTGCTCTGTTGTCTCCTGCTATCTTCTCCATGAGCAACACTTGGCTCAACCAATGGGATGAGGGGATTCTGGATCGTTACATATATGCTGTCAGCTCATTGGTCACAACGCAGGACAGGGACGGGAACAAATTTACCGTAAGTTTTGTATCTAAAGTGTCCTTGTTCTTCATTTTCCATTAGCTTTTTACTGACTATTTTTATACTCTCACAGTAATACGGGACAAAGTGCGCTCCTTTTCCACTAAATACAGGACGGTACTTCTATTTCTAAATACAGAACGATTCCGTATTTCAAGGGATGGTCGTCAACCCTATTAGACACCCTAAAGGCCAATTTATGCTTCTGACGCATAGCCTCTGCAACCATCAAATCTGTCTCTGTGTGCGACCACGCCCCCAAGCAGAGGTTCTGCAACCGTCGTTGCGCACCTCAAAAAAATCCTGACCATCGCAAATGTGCGCAGACCTCAAGCAGAAGTGCGCAGACAAAAAGCAGCTGTGATTGGTCCTTGGTATGCCTTTCCAGCTGTCTGTGTGGTCGTCCTTCTCGATTCGGTGCTGGGGCGCGCCATTTTTAAAAACTGAGGAACAATGGACAACTACGACGAAAGGTTAATGGAGGAGGTTGGGAAGTACAACCACTTGTACGACGCCTCAGACAAATAAGATAAAGATGCCAAGATCTCTGGCAAAACAAAATTCTCGTGACCATCGGGCGAAGTTCTTGCGAGTTCTACCCCAGTATTAAACATTGATTTCTCTGGACTTTAATCTAAAGGGAGGCAAAGTTCTGCTAAACTGTCTCTAATTGAAATCTTTTAGATGAAAAAGGGGGCTGATTTATCAGTCATACCCTCTAAACCAGCTTTACATTCACTCAGTCACACAAACTAGAAATATATTCTTTGTCCAAAGGCTAATGTTGCAACAGGATGACTCCTCTACCTTCTGAGCCAAAGTTAAACCACTGTTCAACTAACCCGGGGTCTAGCTTTGTTATCAATACGCTTTGGGAAAACAAAAACTGTTGATTGCTCCTAAAATAGATACCAGAAGTGATAACTTATCAGATTTTATTGTCAGAGGATCATAAACTGGTAATTATATATTTTAGTTTCTAGAAACAAAAACAACAAAGCTCCCTGTAACCTCTGCAGCAGCTGAGCTGCAGGATCAATCTGATCTGGTCAAAGGTCGCTTTTTATCAAAATACTGCCTCTAAAGCTCCAGATGCTCCTCCTGATCTGGATAGAGCAGAACCAACGAAGAAGAAACAAGGAGCTTAAATGATAATCCTTGTTCAGAGAATAGAATAGGATAAAATAGGACATAAATGAGTAAAAAAGAACATACCTGAATAGAATAAAGTAGATTAGAGTAGCGTAGAATTCAATGGAATTGCATAGAATATAGGGCAAGAATAGAGTGGAGTTAATGGAATGGAATATAGATTTTCTTTATTATTCAGGCAGTGAAAATCTTTGCTGTTTTCCAACAGCAAAGTAAAAGCAAATGGAGCTTTATTAACCTCTTAAGCCAGATGGGCCTGGTACCAGGCTCAGCTTAAAGAAAAAGTCCGAAAAATAAATGATCAGTGTTTTTAATTCAGAGTAATTTTCATTTGAATGTGCTTTACTGGAGGCATCCATGTTTGTCAAAGAACATTACTGACTGGTTTGTGACGTCACGGTGCGGTATCGGCTGTTGATCAAGTCCCAGTGCTGTATCTGGTGTTTGTCACAACGCGCTATTATCCAAGTCATCTTGAAAACATTCTTCTTCCAAATGTTGGCTACATATTACGTGTTTTTTCTCTGGCCAGAAGTTCGATGGTAAATCCTCCCTCTTCAAGTTGGCGATCGGACGATGAACCGTGGAGGATCAGGAATCAGAAAGGTGAAATAACTCTTTTTTTCACTTTTACCCGATGTATTCCAGCATCCAGCTGCCATGCACGTGGGCATTGTCAGTTTCACTATAGCTCTGGTGAATTTTAATGGTGAAGTCCTCTGGAAATCTTCAATAATTGTTGTTGATTGCAGATGTGTCTAGTAGTTCCCATTGATTTAGCTTGTAAAGCGGGAAGAATGGCGCTAGGCTTACCGCACCGTGATGTCACTGCTGGAAGATGGCAGGAGGGAGGGGTTACTATATTAGGACAAAAATGGCCACTCCCAGACTTAGTGATCGTGAGATCCATTGTTTTCTATTCTTTTTTATTTTAATCATAAAAAGCCAACATAAACATAAAGTTAAGGATTGAACTAACAGATTCTGCAGAGTGGGAGAATAGAGAGAAGAATGAAGCAGAATGATGAGAAAGGGGTCCCTACGTCTTCCAGCAGTCTAAGCCTATAGCAGCATAACTATAGAGATAGCTCAGGATAACCTGAGCCACTCTAACTATAAGCTTTATCAAAAAGGAAAGTTTTAAGCCTAGCCTACATTTTAAGTAATCAGTGTATTTTTTGTAGAATATTACATTTTTTACTTTAACTCATTAAGTGATATTCGCATGTGGTTCCCATATATTTCCAAACCCTTTGATCAGATATATTTCAAAACCAACTAGGGGGAAAGAAGGACAGTTCGGAGTATCAGCATCTGATATTGTAGCTGATGTCAACATGAATGAGTTTGCTGACAAAGTAAACTTGACTTTCTGGTTTCTTCTGATTTAAGCCTGCTTTGATTGACTTGATTAGTTGCACTGTTCTTTAATTTAGTTTGAAACATCGGAGCCAGGTCTGGAGGCCATGTTTTGCTTTGCTTTGGGCCGATCGGCTGGGTGTGTTCAGTAAAATATCAGCCCAGCGCTTCTATTTTGGTGTGACTTAAATGCTACGTGCTGAGAATACCCGACTCCTGCTGCACCATCTGAGGGGCGTCTACCTTGATTATAGAGTCTCTGCTTATTTTAAGACGCTCCCTGATCCTGCTGCAGTTCAAACCGTTAGATCACAGAACGCTGGAGGCAGGGAGTCGCCCCTGGGGTCTGTGGTTGAAGGATGTATAATTACCAGATGTTTAAAACAGGAACAGAAGAAGTCCTGCTGAGATGTTTGAATGTGCCTAACTAGTTGTCCCCTGACCTCCAGTGTCCAGATGGCCTTCACACACAACCAGTTCTTAAACTTGTTTATTTAAACTCAGTAAAACAACACACTCTGTGACACTTGTGCGTTTTTAATGTCCTCAGATGTGTGTGAAGATGATGTGGGCAGCAGTCAGTGAGAAGCTACCATCCATGTCCTGTAATTCCTGCCTCCTAATTTAGGTCCGCTGGTTCTCTGCAGCACAGCTGGGTGGTCCCACTTCCTGCTGCCTCTTTAACCTTCGTGGCTTTTTGCCATTTGGAATCAGGGAGGGATTAAATGAATAACCTGAGGTTAGTTGGATGTCGCTTTAAGACACAGAAGAGTAAAATTATCCTCTTCTTTAAGTTGAAAGTGAAAAAAAAAAAAAGATAAGACAAAGTTTAACAGTAAAGCTGCTTCAGTTTGGAGAATCAGGAAAAGATTCCTTTAAAGACCCGTCCATCCATCCATCCATCCATCCATCCATCCATCCATCCATCCATCCATCCATCCATCCATCCATCCATCCATCATCCATCCATCATCCATCCATCATCCATCCATCCATCCATCCATCCATCCATCCATCCATCCATCCATCCATCCATCCATCATCCATCCATCCATCATCCATCCATCCGTCCATCCGTCCATCCATCATCCATCCATCATCCATCCATCCATCATCCATCATCCATCCATCCATCCATCCATCCCTCCATCCATCCATCCA